TAACCAATCAACCCCCGGTCGCTGAGCCAGTACCTGGACTAAGGTATGGTCTTCAAGAGATAAGAGAAACAGGAAGAAAAGATTCACTGGTCCATTATTGAGGGAACAATGAGGCTCTGCAGCAGTAGTGACAGGTCCTCAACACTCTGAATAAGCTTTGTGATATGAATACACCCCTGAGGATTTACCCCCCAAAAAACTATTACACAAAATTGTTTAATCCTGCACCTTACCCCCCAAAAAACTATTACACAAAAATGTTTTTTTTGTGTAAAAGCCCTCAGTGCCTCATAGTGGTGGGCAGTGTGAGTGCGGTGTTTGTGATCGCAGCCCTGGAGGCCAGTTTAGACAGATGATGGAAGGCTCATCCCTGTGGTGTACTCGCAGCCTTATTTCTCATTCTCCATATGTACTCTATCCTCCATGACAGCATGTATGAGCAGGCCATCTCAGTCCAAGCATTTAGAGCAAACAGACTGCTTCCAGAATGTGCCATCAGTTTAGACCAGGCGTGAACTCAGAGGCCACAGTTGGTCCTAAAATTGGGCAGGAGGGCCAGGTCAGGAGCAGATGGAGTGTTAAGAAAAATGTAAAAGTCATACATTGAGGCTAAAATGCTAAAGTGATTTTAGTCTTTTCTACACCATCTATTGGGGAACTACAGACATTGCAGGAAAAAGGCAGGAGTGTAATGATAATATAACATAATAACATCATTTGGACAAGTTCGGCGCGCCGTATTACAAAGGCAAACGGGCCACATCCGGCCCCCGGGCCTTAGTTTACCCATGCCTGGTTTAGACAATTGGCAAAAACCATGAATGCATGGATACATTCAGTTGATAATGACACGTCTTTCATCATGACTACATTGTCTGTTGAAAGCAGTGAGCTGCGTCACGTGACAGTACAAACATGACTTTATTGCTGATGACTAATAGTTTCCATAATCAGCCGGTATTAATGCTGTTGTTTCTGTTTCATGATATTAGGTTGATATTATATTGTCACAAGTAGCTGTTATGAACGCCAGCTCAGACTTGTCAGAATGTACAGCTTTTTATGTGCAAAATGTTCGACTCGAGTTAGAGAATTGATTTAATTCAACAGTCTCGCACCAGAACGTTGACATCAGGCAACACAGTATTACAAGTTCGTTACATCATCTTTGGATTCACGTCTCTGCTGAGCTCCGGCCTGCAACACACCATCAAATGTGTCATGACAAAGACTTTATGTTTGGTATCGTGTGTGTGTGTGTGTGTATGTGGGGGGTGGGAGGGGTGGGGGGGGGTGGGGACGACACACCACCGCACTAGACATTGATCATCATTACGGGTGCCAGCAGCCAACAACAGATGTGTGGGTACAGTAATACGCTGACTGTGTCTGGGCAGCTTCCATCAGCACTGTGGGACATGTGCATCTATTTTCTCACCTGCATCACACTCCTCTCACACCATCTGTTGGCGACGACTCTGCAGCTGCCTTCATCCACTCTCGGCTTGTCTGGGCCTGATTGCTGTCTCATAAGGACACAGATTAGTCTTTGACTTGACCACATTTTGAACCTCGTCCAGTGTAATCTTATTATTATTATTATTATTTTGTTAATGCTCTGTGTTTCAACATATATTATTAGGTTTAATAATAGAAATAATAAAAACTATATTAGCTCATAAAGGACCTTTAATTAAACTGTAATTCAGTTTGGACAAAAAAAAAATACTTCAATCATTTTGAATCGAATTGAACTGAACATTTTCCATTTTCCTCTATCCAATAGCATCCTATGCTAATGATCGTGTTACAAAGGTTTTAAAAGTTGTCTGACTTTGGTCTGATATTTTAGTATCCACCCACAGAAGCAGTGGCGTTCCATGCAGCAGCCTAATGAGGGTATTTTTGTGCAACAACAAACTCTGGTTTGAAACAGTGGCGCTGCATCTCTGTGCCCTCATCAATCACAACTCTGTTGTTTATCCTGATGCTAATGTTGTCAGGTTCACTCTGTGGCCCTATCAATTAAAAGAAAGTGGTCAGCAGCAATCCGTCATTCTCCATTTAACATGCCACAGTGAGCAATGCCATGTGTACAAACAAGGTGTGTGTGTGTGTGTACACATCCATGCCTCTGCCTCAAGTACAGCATGTGTGTTACTTTGTTATTGTACTCTAGCTGTCGGAGGACACAGGTCTAAGAAGAGACAAAGAAGAGATGCAGAGACGAGACGCCGTCCCCGTCCTTTAGAGTAACGATCCGTGGACAAACTGCTAACTGAAACAGTCCTTGGAACGGCTTCTCATGACTGAAGCTTCTGTTTCTGCTCTGCTGTGGGTGTTTTTGAATTGATTTCTCATAGTGGGGACACACAGGCCAATCACTTTCACTTCCCTATGGTTTACGGCAGCCTAGAGATTACATGGCGTTACCTGTGACAGCTGCACCAGCTTTTATTTCCCACACAGAGGTCTTTTGAGGGCAGTGGTACAGGAAGTATGTAGCAGAAGTTTGTGCTCGTTTGTTCCTTATATTTTGTTTTTTTAAAGGCAGAACATAAAATGAATAAGAAAGTTGTAGAATTATTTTATTTATCTGACTACAGTGTGTGACTTTTTTTTCATTTTAAAGAACATTCCATTTTAATGAAACTTTAAATTTTGTGATTATTGTTATATATATATATATAAACAGTGGGTACAGATTATTTTATGACATATACACTGGTGTAAATATAAAATCCAGTTACAAAACACTTTACTTCAAGAAATAAAAGTAATTTCAGGAACCTTCTATTTCAGCTGCGAATCATCGGGCTCCAACTCACCACTTATACGAATGTTACACCACAAATCTTTTATTACAACTCTTATTAAACCTCTCATATTAAACTTGCCCTTTTATTCTTTTCCATTTTCTACATCTTTTGTTCAGTTCTTTTTTTTTTACAATTTCCATTTGAAGAATCTCTTCACCTGACGACAGAACTGAAAGCTATTCAACTGTAGACTCTCGTTTTTTTTTTTGTTTTTGTTTTTGTATTTGTTAAAATTTTCTGAAATCAATTTCCCTAAAACATAGCTTTGGGTAATTTAATATTAAATGGTAATTATGACATTTTAAACAGCCAGTTATTTTTTACCCTATGGATGAAGCCTGGCTTTATGTCTTTATTGGAATCATATACTGTTTAGTGGGTTTTAGACATAGATTTGAATGCTGCCTGGGTTTCATCAAGCCTCCACTTCCTGTCTGGAAATAAGATTTCACAAATGAAAAATATATTAGGGCTGAGTGTGGCTGATGGAAGAGGATACCTTATGATTTATTCATTCACCAAAGAGCAAATTTAACACTTTAATGCTATGGAAAGGCATTACAGCTCCAGCAGGAGATTTGACATCTCACAACACGCCGTATTAGATAACATCACTTATTTATCACTGTGGTTAAAGAACAAGGTGGGATGCTTTTGAGGGCAAAAAAAGAGAGAGAAAATGTTACATTTGATAAACGGTTGTAGAGAAGGGATTGGGGGAAAAATGAGACATTTGTTGGATTTTGCCAAAAAAACTGCAGCCGCCGGGTAAACAGTCCCACTTTGATGTAAAAGTAGGCCAAACATTTCAATCAATGTCAGAAGGAGACACATTTACCATGCACCTGTGTATCCACAGATAAAATAAGTATATGTATATATGTGGAGACGTCGACTTTCATGGCCAAATATATGGGTTTATCTGAGGCAGTGGAAGATTCAGACAGTGTGAAACAACAGAAGTTCATTTCAGGTCCAGTTGTTTAAAAAGCATTTAGGAAAATTAAAATCTATGAGAAAATGTATTTTTAAAAATTTGAAACATCAGACAACACACCAGTTTAATATTAATCAGATCGCTACACATTAGAGGTCAAATCAAGGTCATGAGAGAAAACTCTGCTGCGTACAGCGTACTAGGTAGCTAGTTGTATTAGTGTGAATATTAAAAACAAAATATTTAAAACTAAAGCAAGAAAGCTGAAACTTTCTTTTGTAGTTCAACACACAAATGATTATATTGCCAGGATTTGTAGTGTAACCAAACCTCCTTCAAAGTTATGTTTAAAAGGGTTTAATATTATTTCGAACCTACGGTCGTTAGTTGCCCTGGTTTCCTGAGGAACCCGACTTGACCTTGTCGCCGTAGAGTGAACGCCACTGACACTGATGTGGTGACGGTGTAGCGGCGGTACTGAACACTGTTCAAGTCCAACAGGTTCCTACATTTGAAGGCAGTCGGTTGGAAAATTGAAAATAAACAAGCCCATTTCTTAAGGACTAACTGTGTGATTAAATTTGAGTTGACAAATATAATATATCGTCTTTATCTGCCCACCTTCTTATTACCCGCCACAGAACAACAAAATGAAGATGGGTGCGCCCACTCAAAAAGCCCTGCACACTCTTGTCTTCTTTGGGATTAAGAGGCTTTGAATGGTGGAGGCCATAAAAATCTACACCAGCCCAGAGGTCTCAGAGCGCCTTATGAGTATATTTATCATTAGGATTAACCAAGCAGGCCTGTGAACACCAGCACCTCTACCCTTTTACAAACACTGTGTTTAGCTGAGTGGTTGATGATAACAGCCACGCAGCAGCAGCAGCAGCAGGGTTGGTGAAGCTCTGCTCCCAGTCCACCCAGCATCCCCAGTGAGTTGTTCACAGAACGGGCAACATCTGCATCGGTCGGCTAATCTGTGTACGGCGTGAAAAGCTGTGGCTTTACACGGTCTGACAGTGCTTCATCATCTAATTCCTAAACCACAACCATGTGCATGATGTGATCAAAGCAAAGACCTGGAAGTCAATGAACTGCTTGTAACGCAAGACAATCTCCAGTCAGTGTTTATGCGTACACACACACATACGTGTGTGAGTGTGACTGCATTTTCAGGGATTGGACCCTCAGTGCATTAGGTCATCCTCCTCTAAACCACTCCCTGTTCTCCTTCTGCTCAGATCTTCCACATGACCTATGACCTGGCCAGTGCAATGGTGAGAATAGTCAACCTGATTGGGATGATGCTGCTGCTGTGTCACTGGGATGGCTGTCTGCAGTTCCTGGTGCCCATGCTGCAAGACTTCCCTGCTGACTGCTGGGTGTCCAAAAACAAGATGGTGGTAAGTTCTGCTGTCAGCATCGTCACTTATCTGATCTTATTTGATAGAAAACAAACAAAAGGTGTTTCATGGAATATTGCACACAGTATCACAGTGTCATTTAACCCCTTCATGAATTATTTCCATTTCCTACATTGCTCCACCTCCATGTCCTGAGGCTTCTAGGTGTTATTTAAAAAAGAAACAAGCGAGAGGTTAAGGCTGTGCCTGCATTGATTTCCCGACAGCCACAGTCCAATATTGACTGTGTATTGACAGTTTCCTGGTGAGCAGTCATGACGTGTGTTCATTTTGTCTGTATTGTTAGCTAGCTGCAGGATTACAGCGGCGGTTTAAAGCGGCTCTGCCATTTTCAACCTTATTTTCTTTGCCAGTCGGTGTGACCACCGCTGGCTCTGAGCCAGCCGCAGCTCATTTGGCCTCACGTTAACTCGACGTGTTACACAAGAGAACGGTGCTAAAGGAATCACACTAAGTACCAGGTGTCATGCTTGGGCCTTCAACATGAATTGATTTGGCAGTAAGTGTGTCAGTCTCTCAGTATAAATCAACCTCCTGTCGCGGCCCATGGCTTATCACCGTGTCAATGAGAGGTTCACCAGGCCATACAGTGAAGGCAGCACTTATCTCTGAATACTGTGACTAATGTGTCTACTTACTATTCCTGTTGTACTCCAAAGTAATGCTACATGACTGGATTGTAATATTGATGTAAGTATTTATGTCACAGCATTGCATACCGTTTTCGAAAGGCATAAATATTTTATTGCATTGATTCTTAAAATCATTAATCAGAAAGTTAAAGTCAAATGAAGCTGAGCCAACATTTAATCATAGTGAAAACTAACCTTGACAATTTAAAAAAAAAAAAAATTATATACAATAACAACATTTAGTTTATTATTATTATTATTATTATTATTGTTTATTGATGATGATTTAACAATTTAAATGGATGATAGAAATTTGTCATTGTGAGTGAAAAAAAAAAACAGCCATAGTTTAACAAGTCACTACATTTTATTTTGATGTTAGAGACTGAGCACTGACTTTAAAGACGGCACGATGACGGATCACATGATAAACATGCCCTGATACAGTGACAGCTTAAAGAACACGTTCAGAGAAGTTCCACATTACAGCAGCTTCCAGTCGGCTGATTGTTCAGCTCTCTGTGCCAGAACAGATGTCACATGAGCAGTTACATCGCTCAAGGTATGATGTATTTGGTTCATCATGCCTCAGTGGCTGGCTGACATGCTCACTTGTTTCACACAATCTGCCTCCCTTATATTTAATCATAGGAAATGACAGATGCTGCAAATCACTGTCTCTGGAGATGTTTCACACTAAAGCTAATTTTAGCTTGTTTTCAAATACCTGCCAGTGAAGAGACAAGAACGATTCCCCCAGTACACACACACACACACACACACACACACACACACACACACTTACAGACCTCCAGAAAAGAGACAGCGGTCCAGGTGAGGGACTGTGTCATCATTAGTGTATTGGCTTTTATGGTAAAATTATGTCGTCTAATTTTTTTGTTAATTGCTGTATTTTAATTATAAATAAATGTATCTAAATTTAACAACACCTTTTTCCCAGAGTTTCCAAAAAAAAACCCCACAACACTCAAGTTCAGTGATTTCGCTCAGTGACAGTAAATATTTTCATTTTTATTATGACATCAAGCTGAAGAAGCGAACATCAACTGACAATTAACATAATTAGGTAAATAATATGAAAAAATCAAACATGGACATAACAGTGGACAAGAGGTATTGAGGTACGGTAAATAATATGAAAAAATCAAACATGAAAATAATTGCTTGGACATAATAGTGGACAAGAGGTATTGAGCCATCTCCATTCATATTTGAGACAGATGTGAAATAATAATAATAAATAATAATAATAATAATAATAATAAAATCTAATATTTTGGCTCTATTGTATGTTTGAAGACCTTCATTTCTGACGGAATCCTTTGTGTCTTAAGCCGGCCTCAGTAGTTAGGGTGTGAGGAGAAACGATCCAAACATGCTTAGTTTAAGTCCCATGAGACGGACGGCGCCTTTTCATTAACGTCAAAATGGAGTTTGTTTTGTTTCACACCGTAAACAGTGTCTAATTAATTGCATTACATAGAAGAATGAGTGTGAGTGTGACGGAATAACAAATATATCTATCTGAATGAATCCAAGCCTCCGGGGCCTGCACTTCCACACTGCTCACATCAGCAGGTAGACAAAGGAGTTGTTAGCACTGATAGACTCAGTCACAGTGGCTCTCACCCTGATTAGAATCATTGGGGGACTTTTTAGTTTTCCTCTTACAGTAGCTGTCCAATTATCTCACTGGGTCATCGCACCCCACCTTTTCAGGAGGACACTAATATAACTGCTATCTCTCTCCGCTTTCTCCGCTGTGGAAATGAGTGGAAAAGCAATTTGGATGTGTCACCTCAGAGGAGGGTTGATATTGATTTGGCAGCAACGACCACTGGGATCTAAGAGAGAAAAGAGCCAATTTATCTACCAGTAGAAAACTCCAAAAAATCATATTTGAGCCCAATATTCAACCTACTTTCTGTCATGGCAGCTTCTGTCGTCTCATGCTCCCTCTACTGTTCTAGAACTCTCCTGTAAAAACCCCGGCCCAATTGCCTGTTTGCTCCAAATGTTTGGCTGTTGGAATGCTCACCACGAGCATCTGCCATTAGTTTTGTCCTGGAAGTACTTGGATGTACGTGTGTGTGTGTGTGTGTGTGTGTGTGTGTGTGTGCTTGTGTAAACAACAAGCGTTTCTATTGACCTTTAATGTGCCGTCGTCGCCCTCATGAGGTCGGAGTAAGATGGGAAGAATAAAGTGTTCCCATGTACTTTAACCTTTTCTGTGTCCTTCCTTTCATGCAGAATGACACTTGGGGACAGCAGTACTCCTACGCCCTTTTCAAGGCTATGAGCCACATGCTGTGTATTGGATACGGCATGTACCCCCCGGTGGGCATGACAGACGTGTGGCTGACCATCCTCAGCATGATTGTGGGAGCTACCTGCTACGCCATGTTTGTGGGCCATGCCACCGCTCTAATCCAGTCTCTGGACTCATCTCGACGGCAGTACCAAGAGAAGGTGAGTCACGTGTGGTTGGTTTATGTTCAAGAGAGGATGTTAGACGATGTTAGATGGAACTCAAAGATCGAGGAACAGCCCGGCTTTCACTTGTCATTTTTGTTGTTTTACATCAAAATGTCTTTTTCGTAGGCCACTGAAGATTCAGAAAGGAATGAAAGGGGGATAGTTGAAAAAAATAACCAAAGAGCCAGGCTTACAAGAACAGGGAAATGACTGACTCATATGATGTAGTCAAAGGCTGATCTGGTCTGTATGTGATGTAAACCTAAGGTCTAAGTGGAACATTGCGCTGCTCAAAGACCAAACTGAAGAGTCAAGAGCTCGATCCACACTCGCTGCCAATTAGACTGAACAGCTGTCCAGTCTCAGCACCTGTCAAACATGTGACCAGAGTAGTTTTCTGCTGTTTCCAGGATCACCCCCTGAAGTTCCTTGAGGATCAGCAGCCGGCTAATAAGGCTCCCTCGTCTACTTATGGTGCCTGCCTTCAGAAAGGTTATTACAGCAGACTGCAATTAATTTTTTAAGAGCGGATTCCCTCGTTTATCTTTCTACATGCCTCAGTGATAAGACACTCGGTGGGTGCACTGTTGCTGTGTGTGTGTGTGTGTGTGTGTGTGTGCTCATCTGGCTTTGGTAGACTGTAGTCATTTCTTTTCCTCTGTACACCTCCGTTTTCTTTTCTTTTTTTTTGTTAAAATGAGAGCCAGTTTCTTCAGAGTCATGCAGGTTTTTTTCATTAGCCTCACCTTTGTTATTTGACAGGGGCTCTGCCACCTGCAAGATTTCACTTTGGTTTTTCTGTGCTAGACTAATAACATAATCCCCACTGTCAAGGAAATAGGCAATCCATTGGTCAATCTCCAGAGTTTTTGAGGAGACAGGTGGCTGTTTTCAGAAAAGCATGACAAGGTCAGCTGGTCTGGTCTGCAGGGATGCAGCCAGAATAAAAAATAAAAAAAGCTCCCTGAGAACAGAACTGAAGCTGACTCTGTCTAGCCTGACCTGATAAACATGCATGCAGTGCATTATCTCCTGTAGTCAGTCAGTCTGTCCAGAAATATACAATTTATAATATTTTAATGAATTTGTTATTTCGTTAAACCCAGGGGTGAATGTGATACATTTAAGGCAGCTTTTGAACAAGAAAGCCGGATGCTTAACTATATTGTCCAATAACCAAAAAATAAGTTATACGGATCTTAAATATATAACATATAAAAATAATTTTTCAATCTTTCTGACATTTTTATCTATCTATAAAAACAAATGTGTGACACAAATGCAGAACAAAATCTTTGAGATCAGCTAAGCTAAGCTAAGCTTATCTTGCTTTGGCCTATTTCAGTGAATATATTTTTAAATGTAGGTGTTTAGAAAATATAATGAAATGAAATACAGACAAAGGGTTGAATCCCTGCATGTGTGATCTGTTGTAATCCATTCATTAAATAACTGACAAATAATAATAAATTTTAAAAAATTGTAATTTAAATAACTGACAAATAATAATAAATTAAAAAAAAAAATTATTTAAAACTCCTGAATCCTTACAATTTAAATAATAATATTAAAAATCTCCTTATTGTTCATCGTACACACAGCCACATTTCTCCTCTGTATTCACCCATCCCTGTGTCTTCAGCAGCGACCACAGAGCAGGGGGATGTCTTGGTGTTTGCACTCACTCCACAGTGTGGGTATTCAGAACACAGGGACACTGGGAAGCTTTCATTCTTATCAAAAGCCCTTACAGTGTATTTCTAAGTGCGAATAAAAGAGGATTACATTAAGAGGTTGTTTGTGTAAAATGAACAAGGGGAGGAAAATACACGGCAACAGATTTTTATTGAAAGCCCTCGGAGAGCATATTTAATCCTGTGAAAATGAATAAACAGCATAAAACTCAAATTAGGTTCGAGCCACGTTGGATATTCACTGAGCAGTACATTCTGTAGATGTTGAAATGAAGCACATTTTTTAAAGATTATTCCATGTAAAGGACACTAACATTCTTAATTTGGAATGGTTTTAAAAATGTAATAGTAACCACATCCAGTGCCAGTAGACTTCTCTGTCTGGATGTGAACGTGTTCCTGTAAAAAAATAAAGTAGTAGTAAAAATAAGTAGATTGGGATTTACCAGTTGACCACAAACGGAATTCTCATAGATCATGTGCAATTAAAAAAAAAAAATTCTTTATTGTTTAGTGGGGCCCATATACTGTAAGAACTGAATCGTAACTCAACATATATTGTCAATTTAAGGTACTGTACGTCCAGTTTATAAGAGTAAATCTAAATCTAACATGGAGTTAGGTCACTTTAGCCTGATCATTTGAAAAGTAGGTCCTGGGCCAATAAAGTGTGGTGATGGGCTCTGTGCCAAGAACCATCAGTAACACATTATATCCATGTGTACATGGTCAGCATGAAAGGCCATCTGTCCTGCTGGCCGGTCGAGGCACTGTCCAAGAAATGGTTAAATTTAGATGCAAAACTAATCAGTGAAATCCCTCTGAGGGACTGTGTTACAGAGAACAAGTCTGTGCACGAATGTCAGGAGTCTCCAGTCTGCATACAGCTGAGGGGGGAGGAAAAAAGGGGAACTCTTCTCTCAAAGATGGTGAAATTATCATCAGAAAGCCTGGGTCTAATCTGTTCTGAATACGTTTCTATTACATTGTGGAGCTGCGTGATAAATGCCCGGGCTGTCAGAAGCTAGCAAGCAGTCTTAAATAGTCTTTCAAACAGGAATCAGGCAGCCTGTTAACTGTTACACAAAGTAGAGAGCTTAGCAATCACAGTAAGTGCCATGGGTTGAAGTATGTCCTCCACTGAGATGAAAAATAGCTTTATTAGATCCATTTCTGCTCGGCTAAAAATAAACATGTATTTCCCTTCTTCTCCGGTGTGTAAACAACATTCAGCAAAAACGGCTAATGCAGAAAAACATCTGCCTGTTCTGCCTGGCTGTTCTGCAGATTTGTCGCGTTTTCATCAAATTGGACACAGACTGGTGACTGACCATGTTCTCTGGATCAAACCAGACAGAACACTGGGGCTTTTTATGCAGCTTTTTTGATCATGAAATAGCATTTTTTACACAACAAACTTTTATTAACTATTATCTTAAGATGAATACATCTATTGTTTGACACATCTGTAAAACAACCATTAAACTGTTCATTTACAACAATCTTTAGTCACATGCTAACAGACAGGGAAAGCGAATGGACAAGGCTGGCTGGATGTGATTGATCACCACTTGATGGAGCCCTAAATTGAGCAACAGAAGCTTGACCAAATGTCACTAAGCAACACTAGGGCCATAATGATGGGGGGCTTCAATAGTTCCCCCCAGGTTTAGGTCCTATTGATGATTGAACTACAAATTTTATTCTTCTTAAATTTGATTTCTTCTTCCTCCTTGTATTGAAGTGAGACAATACATATAAAATATTTCATAATTTCACTGGAAGTTAATTTCCATCGATTTTCTTGATGTTGAGTTGAACATAGAGCTGGAATCAAGTACTGCAAGTCCACATATACAACTGCAGTGTGAAAGTATAATTAAGACTGTTCCAAACATCCTTACACTTCTCTCATCCCACCTTGGAAAACACAGTGAACTGGACTGGGATAAAATGGGTTAAGCATCATGGACCAACCTCCCACCTCTCAGTCCACCTCTCACCCCACCTCTCACCCCACCTCTCACCCCACCTCTCACCCCACCTCCTCTTGTCTCAGACATGTTAAGAACCATTATCACAGGAAGAGAACTGCGGCCACAAGATGGCTGTGCATCTGACGGTGCATTCAGGGTACGTCTGCCACTCCAGCTCCATGTAAGCTGCCACTTATCTCTCACTTCAGCCTGCTGTTGTGAAGATGTATAGTGCACCTGAGGATGGGGAGAGACACACATGAACGAGAGAGATCATCTCCTTCACTTGGTGGTGATTGTTACTCACGTCGTCCTGTCTGTTCTTACTGTTTTCAACAATATATATATATATATATTTATTTACTATCCTTCAGAGCAGGATATCTAAATAATGCTGTATTAATTTGTTGAAGTCAGAAATGCCCATGAGGGACCTGTGCACCAGCAGCTTGTTGTGGCAGGCCCCTCCCCAGTGGCCTTAAATGAAAATGGCAGTGGAGTTCTGCTGCTCCTCCTCTTTAAATCTCTAATTAACACTTGCCAATTAAACATAGCTCTTTGGGGAAACGTTAATAAGAGGCTCAAGCTGATTATTTAAGGGTGGAGAGGCTCCAGAGAGCCTTTGTTCCTGTACTACAGTTGTCCAATCACGACCTCTGGCATTACAAGAAGTAGTTTGCATCCAGGTTTCCAGGTTTGTTTTTTAATGAAAAATTTCTCTACTGCCATTTCTATCTATCCTCCATTTAGGTCACTCATGAAAGCTGTGTTTTCATCAGAGAATTCCTTTCTTTACTTTGTAAAATTCTAAGTGATGTCTTTCTCAGTAAGCCGTAACATGCTTTTTGCCCAGTCTAGAAAAAAAAAAAAAAAAAAATCAAGTGGAGCCAGATCAAAACCTGTTGCAAAACCTGGATAAAAAAAAAATCAACATTTTTTTCCCACTTGTTTCAAATCCAAACGCTGCTTAAAGCCTGACAAAAAGATGATCTCATTAAAGCTGAAACCCTCTGATATTCAGTTGTTGACTTCTTGTAACAGTGCTTCAGCTTCCAGCCCTGAGAACGGCACCTCATCATTTCTCTCTCACCCTGACCTAAGGAAACATCTGTCATCAAGTTGAGCAGCTTTAGTCAGATTGTGCCTTCCGGTGCCAGCTGGTCTCATCAGTCCAGATTTGACCGACGGCATGAATGTAAACCCTGTAACATTTGTCTTTTCCTCTGTGCCTGCATCATCCCTTATACTGCTGAGTCAAGACCTCCAGAACTCCCCTTTATTAGTGACCTGCATCATAAACATGATGTTTCATGTTTTCTGTGGCCTATGTACTGCGTTACCAAAGTGACGGTCCAATGAGAGTCAGTGCAGCTAATGTAGAACCCACAGAGTGTAACAAACAGAGGTGACCGCCACTCAGCCCTCCTCCTTCCTGTGTCAGGTATCTACGTGTGTGGCATACCTGAAGGACTATTGGCTCCGCCCTCCACCGTCTCACTGTCTGTGCTCTGCTCTTTTCTTCATGCTCCTTATTTAAAATGGGAAATGCAAATCACTGATTGAGGCTTGAAAGAAGTAGACCCTGAAATACTACTGAAAAACTTATCTAAAAACAAAGTGGTTTCAAACTAGGTTAAGACCTTATGGAATAAAAGTTTCTACAGTGTTTGACAAGAAAAATGTCTGTTTTTAAAAAAAATAAAAACCCAGTTGATTATAAAAAGTATATAAAATGTTGGCTGTACAGTATGACTGAGTGTGTTTGGTCCAGGGTGATTTGCTTTAAGTTCGGTGGAAACGGAAAGGGGACGGTGTAAGAAAAGAAATATTTAGAAAGTATAATTAAGTGGCCGATGTCTCCTCTGGGGAATGAATAATTCAGTGTTTTTATTTGTTGAAAATTTGCATTTGCTCAGAGAGCTGCTTGAAAGAGAGGGAAATCGGTGAGAGAGACATTAGAAAAGAACAGACGGCGGTCAGGGTGATGGTTAGTCAAAATAAAAGATTACAAAAGATGAACAGGGTCAAATATTGGTGAAGACAAACACTGTAGTTCCGATGTGGCTCAGCAAACTGCCACAGATATAAAGAGAGGGTTCAACAACTATGTATGTAGGATTAAAAATTAAAATTATAAAGAATGATAGTCATGATTATTTTAGCTTTTAAGAGTAAAAAGACCAAAGGTTTGAGAAGAAGAAAAGTCAGTACAGATTGATTTTCATCATTTCGTTTATCGTGGTCGATGACTTTACAGTCTGAATATGAAAATACCAGAATGTTCCCCTCAACAGGTTAACATTTCTCACTGGGGTTTTTTGCTCTTTACATGATTATTTACCTATTATCCCTCATGCATTTTATTCATCACTTTTGCCTCGGTACCGTACGGCTGACGTTGCATGAACGGCTGTGCTCACTCACAACAGGTGCATGCGACCATTAGAGGTTTGAATGGAGGTCCTGATCATCATGATGCACAGACTCCAGACTGTTGAATCTGTCGATGGGGGATTCAAAGAGCTCCGGTTAAACACAGACAAACTGAAAACCAATCTGGAGATGAAGATGAAGATTAACTTTGCAGAACTAACACTGTGAGGAACAACCTACAGGAGGATTACAGACACAGCAGGGTGTGTGTCTCTGTCTGTCAGTGCAAGATGTCACCAACTGTCTGTCCAATTCCTCGCTGATTCCGTCTGATTCTCAGAAAGCTTGACAGCTGCCCCCGCTCTAACGTTCATATCCATTTTGACAACATCCCAGACAGCTGTGCTCACATACTGTGGTCTGTTTCTACAGTGCTGGCCTTTTGATAGAGTCTCCACCAGATTCATGTTGACTAGGTTAGCAGGGTTGGATAACAAAGGAGGTCAGTCGTGTCACGGAGCTCTTACTGTGTTGACACTGTAGAAGTACTGATCAAAGAGCTGCTTCACTGTCGCTTCATGAATGGATAATTTCTTCTTTTTTTTTCAGTTTTACCTGGAAGACGCTGCACTTATTCTTTGATCTGCATCTGTTTTATGTTCTCTGAAATCAATGGAAGGCTAACTTATAGCACAGCGTTGAACTTTTTCATTTTGACTACTACGTCTCATCTTCTCTAGAGAGCTCTCATATTCATTTGGTGCTGATGCTGCAGCATTTCAATTACACCGCAGTGCTGTGCAGTCTTGTGATTGATGTGTGACGGCGTTCAACATGCATGTGGATACAAATAATGTAGGTGTCAAAATGTTAATATTCAGTGTATGTCAGGGGGCTCTTCTGATTTTCCTGTGCAGGAAAGCATGTCAGACCATCAGTCAGGTTTTAATAAATCTTGTCGGATTAAACACTGACATGGCCTAAAGCTAATCTTTGAGGATAATTAATGGAGAGTTTTAAACTACATCTTATTGTGACCAAGATAGGAAATAGATTTTTTAGGACAGCTAAGAGCAAAACATCTTCTCAGCTAATGTAACCCATGATCCTGTGGCAGATGAAATTGTTGAACCACCTTCTCACCACTGACACTTTTTAACCCTGGGATATACTTTTGAATTCTGTAATAAAACAACAACATAAAGTATCATTCAAGTGTATTAGCATTAATGGCTATTATGAAACCAAGTCTTCTTCATGGGTGGAACCTGTGAGTGCTCGTGATGGTTTATGTTCCATCTCTGTTTCCTCCTGTTTGACTGTGTGGCTGAGCGTTTATCCTCAAGCACCTTGACCTTTGAGTGACCCTCTGACTGTTTTGTGACTCTGTGTCCGTGCAGTACAAACAGGTGGAGCAGTACATGTCTTTCCACAAGCTGCCGGCAGACATGAGGCAGAGGATCCACGACTACTACGAGCACCGTTACCAGGGCAAGATGTTTGATGAGGAGAGCATCCTGGGAGAGCTGAACGAGCCGCTGCGAGAGGTGGGATGAGAACTCGTGTTGGAGTTTGAATCTGCTGCATGTGTAACTGTAATGCATTCAAAGAGCCTGATTGGCAGTGCACTTCACATTCACTGACATTTAATCCTTTACTCAGGTGTGCATTTGATACAGGCTGTTGTGACCAAAAACACAGGAAAAAGAAGCTAAAAAAAGCTGTAATACTAACATGTTGTTCCTTTGGTCTGAAAGTACATGTGGTCACTACAATAAACTCTTCACCGTTACCTAAACCGTTTATTTTTTCAAACAGGAAATCATCAACTTCAACTGCCGAAAGCTTGTGGCGTCCATGCCTCTGTTTGCCAACGCAGACCCCAACTTTGTCACCTCTATGCTCACCAAGCTGAGATTTGAAGTGTTCCAGCCCGGAGATTACATCATCAGGGAGGGAACCATCGGCAAGAAAATGTACTTCATCCAACACGGGGTCGTCAGTGTGTTGACCAAAGGCAACAAGGAGACCAAGCTGTCAGATGGCTCCTACTTTGGAGGTAAAATAATTACGTTTG